AATTCTGAAAATAAAATTAAGGAAATACATAAAAAGACTAAAATACTCCTTACTTAACGGAAAATTTTAACAGAGTTAAGTCAATGAACGATTTTCAAAACAAAATGCAAACATTAAGGACGTTAATTGTGGTTATTGAAGTCTATAAATTGCTTTCAGATATTTGTCTATACTATAAAAACCAAAATTGTAGTTTACTCCTTTAAAAAATGATGAAAGGATTTTATTTTTATTTAATATATAACATTTTTTTAATTAATATTTCGAAATAATCACATTACACGTCATTTGACGACGATGATAAGCCTTTACCGTCGGTGCTAAGCGTGCTTAGGTGATGTGGCTTATATTCTAAAGTATGTTGATAACGTTATAAAAAAGAAAAATAAGATTTAAAATATTTATAAAATGTATTAAAGTTTGTAATATTTTGGTCGTATAAAAAAATATATAAAATAATGATTTCAAAAAAATATGAAATCAATAATAAATGTGATAACGGGTTTGTGATTAAAAGTTTAAGGATGGTTTTGTTAAATGCTGAAAGTTAAGGGGTGCGTTTTGAAATTTTGTTTAGAATATCAACTTCATCACCGCCTCTTGTTTGAAAAAATATATATGTGTGTGTTTTCTTTTACTTCCATTAATCATTCTTGGATAAAAAGAAGTTGGTGTGAGCTCTGGTTCTGAACAAAAATTGAAGGAAGAAGAAGAAGAAACTGTTTACGTGATTTTATTTGATAATTGTTGTTGTTTTAAAGTCTTCATCTCTTTGTGATACAAGGTGAGTTTTACTTCCAAAACATCATTTGATTTGTTTTAATAAGGAATCGTATGGTTTTCTGTTTTCATACGTGGGATGTTCTAAATTGATTATATGCTATTTTTTTAGCATGAGTTTGGGTTTTGATACGCTATTAACAACTGATTGGAATAAGGGTGACATACTTAGGAGAATTGTATTTTGGAATAAGGGTGATATAATCATGAGAGGTGTATTTTGGGATCAGAGTGACATAATCAGTAGAGGTGTATAATTTGAAATAAGAGTGACATAATCAGGAGAGATGTATACGGGGATAAGGGTGGCATAATCAAATTGTTTGTTAAAATGAAAATTTGATCATGTGAACTGTTGTTCTCACATCGATGCAATGAGTTTGTGATATCGCATCTGTATAATGCGATATGTTTGGGTGATCGCATCAGTGTGATGAGACAAAAGGGGATTATCGCATCCTTGTGATACGACAAGAGGACATTATCACATCATTGTGATGCGAGGAGTAATTTTATCGCACCAGTGTGATTCGAGGAATGATAGTTATTGCATCAATGTAATGCGAGAAAAGTATGTTATCACATGTGTATGATGCAACAAATGGATGTGTTATGTGTTTGATGCGATAAGTTTGATAATTCATGAGTTGAAGTGATAAAAAGAGGTTTGTTACGATAAAATATTGTTTATTTGTTATAAATATAAATGTGAGTTTTCTAAAGTGTTTTGGTGATTTTGACTCTATAATTGCAAATAAGGGAATTACTCACTAGACCTTATGGTCTAACCCTCGCTTTGTGTTTAAAAATGTGTATTACAGGACAAACATCAATGGAAGGTAAAGGAAAGGGGAAGATGTGAAGAGGATTATTATTGTTTTACATCTGTGGAAATTTTGGGAAGCTGATTATATGCATGTACTTGAGAATGCGTTATATACAAGTCATGTACTGTATGTAAATAAAAAGTTTGTAACTATTTTTATATGTACCAATTTGTACATCTGGGACACATGTGTATATTTGTATTTCATGTTATATGGAATATGTGAATTTTATACAAATATGGATTGGGGTGTTATATAATATAAATTTAACTTTAATTAGAAATTAAATAAATACTAAAAAGATCAAAATGCCTCGAGTTAACGACTTTTTTAACGAATATTAGTCAAATGAACGAAAAGTGAAACAAAGTGGCAACCACAATGATCAACAAGTGTAATTATTTCAAGATATTGACGAGACTTAATAGCGAGTGACAACCATATGGACCAAAATGTAATTGCTCTATAATTTACGTAATATTTTATGGTTTAACTAAAAAGGTTGAGAACAATAGGAATTATTCTGGTTTAATTTAACCAGCATACTGGGGAGCCATATAGGTTAGATTAGCTGGGTTGAGGTCGTTAAACAACCTAATCCAACTATCTCGACCTAGAAAATCCCAACCTATTCAAAACTTTTTGAAGTATAGGCCAACCCAACTCAACCATTATAGAATTAGGTTCAGTTGGGTTGGTCGAATTGAATATATTTTAAAATTTTGTTTAACCAAAACTTAAAAAAACAAAGTTTTACTGGTTAATATTTAACCACCGATAATATTACTATCATTCAAAATATCAACATGAAAAATTTTCAAAGAAAGTAAAAAAAAAAGGAGCTCCTATATGATTATGATATACTAATTTTAGGGGGTGTTTGTGATTGTTTATTTGAAATAACTTATGCTTTTCTACAAAAGCACTTATCAACTTATTATAAGTCAGAAGAGTTTAACTTTTTTAAAAACTGCTTATTACCGGTTTGGCACCGATATAAGTTGTTTATCCAAACACTCAAAAGTGCTTATTACCGGTGTCACATCGGAATAAGTCAATAAGTTGTGTTTTATAAGCAATCGCAAACACCCTTAGTCAACTCTCGCTGGATTGGTGTGAGCCCAAATCTTTTCCAACCATACTATGTCGGAATGTAGCATTTAGAATGTATGGAAAAGCTTGGGTTATCGGTCCATTTTCTGGGTTGGGCTAGGTTGGGTAGTCGACCCGTTGAATTTTTGTGTTTCCTCGAATATATCTTCAAAATTCATGAATAAGACAATGAATAACTGTAAATACAAGTGACGTTCACATATTGTTTCATAAAGCTACTTAGCCACATAATGATAGGTGTGGGAGTGGGTGATAGAGGCTAGGATGAGGTGTAAAGCGAAGGTAACATAGACCCCCGATCTGACTTCATGTTAGGGAGAACGACAATCGAGTCATTACATTTGCTCAGGTGACACATGAAAAAGTATAGGGTGCATAATAACGACCTTCACATGGAATTAATTAGTCTGAGAAAGACGTATGATATTGTATCATGGGACGTGATTTGGATGAACATGAAGAGGAGGGGGCACTTTCGAGGTATATTACGGAGATACATGACTTATACAGGAGAACATTGACGTGTATTATGACGCCAATTGGTGAGACGTTTGGTTTACTGGACCCGTTTGGTTTGTTTTTTACACACACTTGACAGTTCATTAACGTGTTGTATCATTCTTCATACACAAACAAGCAATGTTCATAACTTCATATGTGAATACACTTATGATAAGGACACATTTTTTAATCATTTTATAGTTTGTAATTCATTTTTATTTTCTTTCGTGATGCTAAACACTAATTTTAAGTATGATAGGGTAAAATAGAAATGAACTGTAAACCATATCAACGAAAAAAACAATAACGTTTAAATCATAAGAACGAAAATAACGATGACTTATAAACCATGCACTACTAAATGGAAGACTTTTACCTACATAGTTTCCTTGGGAAATCCGTTGCTAAAGTGGTGAATTGTTGGTGGGGAACTCGAATCAGTGACAGATTACCCAGGGCCGTTCTTGGTAATTTGTGGAAAACAACGGATTCTACCAGAACCATTGGTATTTTAACCGGATATATTAATATGAAGATTTATTTTTTACATTTTTAATACATGATTTGACTTGATTCTAATATAAATATATTTTCACCATTACCTTCAAACAACATAGAAAAAATACAAGTTTTGATGAAACAAAATTGTCTTTTGGTAAAATAATATTGTTTTGATCGATTTCAACGTAGCCTTTTCTGGTTCCAGGGCTATGCCGAATCAAATATAGGATACGACTTTTTTGTCGTGTTTAATCCTATTTTATCCCGTGCATTAAATATACTCTAAATATATAATGGTGTCCGAAAACATAATCAATAATGATATGTAAAGTTGTATTGGTTTAAAAACATGCAATGTTTATTTTGATAATGTAAGGGGTGTTTGGGATTGTTTATAAAAATAATTTATTGACTTATTTCGATGTGGCACCGGTAATAAACACTTTTGAGTATTTGGATAAACAGCTTATATCGGTACCAAACCGGTAATAAAAAGTTTTTGAAGAAGTTAAAGCATTCTAACATATAATAAGTTGATAAATACTTTTATAGAAAAACATAAATTATTTCAAATAAACAATCTCAAACACCTCAATAGTAATATTTGCTTAATAAATGAATTTATTAAAATGACCCTTAAACAACAAAATTGAAAGATGTTAAATTTTTAGGATAAACCCAATTTTAAAAATTATGAATTTATATTTTTGAAAAAAAAGAAATAATGAATAACTTACTCAAAATAAATATAATTGTTTATAATAAAATTAGAACGCTGAATAGTTAAAGGAGACTTTAGATACAAAATCATTTAAGTAGTTTTAGAATTATTAAGAGACAAACTTTTTTTCTACCAAATAAGATTCACCTTTTAACGATTCAAAAACTGTCTCTTAATAAAAATATTAAAAGATAAACAAACAACTCTTTAATTTATCAAACATTACCGAAATAAACGATGCTCTCGTTATTATTGATAAGTATTTTATAAATGTCACTAAAAATATAATAAAAAATGGACATTTATTTTCGAGCGCTGAAATACAAACAGTTGTTTTTATTTTAAAATATTTTTGGATAATAAATTATTTTGCTTTAAAAAATATAAAATTAAATGCTGTACGACATAAGTGTAGATGAGAAGATAACCACGCGCGAAGTTACAGCGCGTGGGCACACCATTTTCACTTCTCTTAAGTAAACACATGTCTTAGCAGATATGTATGACTTCCACACCCACAACACAATCACCGAGCATCCATTCATCTCCTTTCCTTTCTAGAGAGAGAATTAATCTTTTTCTGTCTGTCATCTCTGCAACTTTCCAACATTTCTCTTACCTTTTCTCCCCCCTATTCTTCGGTTCTTCAAGGTGATCAAGTTTTTTATTCCATCTAGGTTTCATAAACTTAATTCTCAGTAACTTCTGCTATGTGTTTGATTAAATGCACCAGAGAATCTTTAGAGTGTTTTATTTACGTCACTAACACTCAAATCTAGGTAACACCCACATGAGCATGTTTGGTTATTTCGTTATCCAATGCCATTATTTCTTCAGATTCTGCTTAGCATTTGGTTCGAATCACCCTCTTTTTACTTCAAGATTTGCTTTTAAACCGATTGATTCTTGATGGGTTAAATCTCTGTTGTTGCAGGTTGAATTGGGTATTCAGTCTGCTTGATATGCAGAGGTTATATTATCAGAAGAAATAGCAGTTTTTGGATCAATGGGTGTTAAGAGATCTGTAATTTACTTGTTGGTGTTCTTAGGGTTTGTATTGATATCTGTGGGACCAATTTCTCTTGCTACCAATCCTGCAGATGGTAAGTCTTCTTGTAAACTAAATCGGGCTCTTCTTTTTTATTATTGTTTATTAGAAAAAGACGTGTGTGTGTGTGTGTGTTTTCGTGTGAAAGAGATTGAACTAGATCTGCCTGATAAATACTATTGCCGATGAACTGGAGTTCTCCTAATCATCAAATCTTTTGATTAATTATGGAATGGAATTTGTTTTTATAGAAATTGATGAAAACCTCATGTTTAGATTCTGAGTACTCAAGTCTGTTCCAACATGTTTCCTTTAGATAACACTTTTTCATGATATAAACGAACTTTAAGATTGGATAGCTTACAAGGGTAATTAATAAGATTTATTACCATTAAGCTGTTAATCATAATTTGAAATTAAGGTGTGAAACCTTACGGAACTAAAATTTTGGAACAGAGGGACTTTGGGAGTATTTCATAGTCATTGACCCCTTGTCTCTTGTTTGTGAAAGTAACACTTTCCAGTGGTTGTAATCTCCATCCCATCTCAAAATCTTGAAACTTTTATAACTTTTTGTTACTTTTTTCTTTGTAAAAGATTCTCATTTATGGTCGATATAAAGCTATGAGAGAAGCATGGTGCTTTCTCATTCTTTACTTCATCTTAAGTTGGTAATATAAATTAAGTGGTTGATGCTCATTTTAGTCCCTGATGCTATCTTTGCTTGTCCAGTTACTTCAATGAATAAACTATATGCTGCACTGGGTTCTCCTGCTCTTCCGGGATGGACGGCTAGTGGTGGAGACCCATGTATTGAGGCTTGGCAAGGTGTTGCATGTGACATTACTAATACGAACATCTTATCGATGTATGGAAATCCTTCTCTCCCTATTTTATGGAAGTTTTATGCATCAATTATTAGACGACGTTATTAATTTTTTACAGAACTGTTCATGGTGCCAATTTGGGAGGAGAACTGGGTGATACCCTAGGATCGTTAACTTCAGTCCAAAGCATGTAAGTATTTGGTGTTTGATTTTTTAAGAGGTGCTGAACTCTGAAGTCTTGTTTCAGTTTATTATTGATAAGGGTTGGTGCTGAAGTTTGAAAGTTGAATAAATAAAACTGTTTGTTTTTGTAAACTCATAAATGTCTGAATGTCTGTGATTTTCTATGATATAGGAAATCATCATATGAAATTCCCTTGTGTGTGGGTGTTCTTTTGGTGTCTATGTAGCTATTACCACATCACAAAGATCTATTTTTCTTTGGTTAGCGGGTTATTTATCAAATGATAATGTGTTCTCTTTATGTTTTTGAATAGAGTAGTGGTCAATTTTTTTGCAAGACCTGCTGGGGAAGGTGTTCTTTTGGTGTCTATGTAGCTGTTACTACATCACAAAGATCTATTTTTCTTTGGTTAGCGGGTTATTTATCAAATGATAATGTGTTCTCTTTATGTTTTTGAATAGAGTAGTGGTCAATTTTTTTGTATGACCTGCTGGGGAACCCATTGTGGTTAATCTGAATATGTTCAATTTTCTTTGTTTAGACAATGTGCGATATTGGGCGTATGCATAAGTAACTGATCTTTTTGGAGCTTTCTGTTGGTCATGCCTCTATCATGTTGTTGGGTGTTCAGGATTTCCAAATGTTTGACTAATAATTCCACTTATTTGGTTGTAGAGATTTGAGCAATAACTTGATTGGGGGTAGCATTCCAACCGCTCTTCCTGTTACCATCATGAATCTGTAAGTTTTCCAATTATTCCTCAGGAGCAAGATTTAATCTGATTAAACAATTTCAATATGCTTTGATTGTCCTTCTTACCCCCTCGTCATCATGGGTTGCTCCAAAATGTTCATTGATAGAAAATAACGACAATCTTTCTCCAAATGCCAAAAAGATTATAGTAACTGATGTTGTCAAATAGCTTGGTAATTTAACCTTTTTTCTGATGGCTATGTACACTAAACATATGATGGTCTTTACCTTTGGCAGTTTTCTTGCAGATAACAACTTCACTGGAAGCATACCAGATACACTATCCTCTCTAACACAATTAACGGCCATGTAAGTTTTATCTACTCCCTCCGTCCCAAAAGTAGTGACCTTTTCCAATTCTACCCTTGATTATGAGATGGAGAAATTCATTACTCCCTCTGTTATTAAGGATAAAATTGTAACTACATATTTCTAAAACTGTATGCCTTTTTCACCATGGGCATTTATTTTGGGACAGAGGGAGTATTATTTGTTGACTCCCATGGTTGTCAGAGTTGTTAATGTTACTTTTCTTGCAATTCAGGTCTCTAAATGATAACAAGTTGTCCGGAGAAATACCCGATTCCTTTGAAGGCCTTACTGCTTTGGTCAATCTGTAGGATCCATTATCTTGAGAGAATCTCTCCCTTAATTTTCTCTTATTTTAGTTGATAAATTGGCTCATCTTTTTTTACTCTTCTGTTTGAAGAGATTTATCCAGTAACAATTTGAGTGGTGAACTACCTTCCTCCTTGGGAAGTGTGTCTTCTCTAACTACCTTGTGAGTAATCGTAAAGCTGATATTTTAGCACTGCCTTTCTTTTTGCACACTTTGCACAATTTGTGGGTCTTCACAGGAACAACCGCTCTACTCTCTGAGGTAGAGATCAGATCTGCCCACAACCCCCTCCCCCCGGGGTGGGACCCCACCTTTGGGCGGGATATACTGGGTTTGTTTGGTTTGGAGCTGACATGTCCATTGGCAGTCATTTGCAGAACAATCAACTCTCCGGGACTCTGGATATTCTACAAGATCTTCCATTGCAGGATCTGTAAGCTTCTTGATCACATTGCATATGAATTTCAGATGTTCCTTTACTCCCTCGTCCAAAAAAGTTGATGATTTTCTATGTTGCGACGCCACGTAACAGCACCACATTTCATTTTGTGCAAAATTTCAAGAAAACATTTCCAGTTTACCCATTGTAGTCATAAGTATTGATGATGCCACAAGAGTTCCCCTACTTTGTTACTCCCTTCGTCCCAAAAATGAATGTTCACAATGAAATAGGCGCACAAATTTTGGAATGTGTAATTATTACACTTTTTAATCAACTAAATGGCAATTTTACTCTTAACAATATTGGGAGTAATGAATTCCTCTATCTCCTAATTAATGGTAGAATTGGAAAGTTGACACTTAATTTTAAAAGTGGACACTTATTTTGGGAAACAGGGAGGTATTATTGAAGGATATTTAACACATGTACCATAGTTGACACTTCTCATGAAGCTTCTCAGTCGAACACCACTTATTTTAGGATGGTGGGAATATTTTTCACGTTTTAACTTTGAATTGTTTGACACCCTTATGATCTGTTCCAGAATTGGTGATGGGGTTATTTTTACTATTTACTTTGTATTTTTTACTGACTTGTTCTTTTTTTCTCCTTACAGGAATGTAGAGAATAACATGTTCAATGGACCCATACCTGATAAGTTACTTGTCATTCCCAATTTCAGGTGCATGGTTCTTGCATTCAAAATAATTCGGTCCCACATCATTATACTAGTTTTGAACATTCACTTCAAAAAATATTGTGGGGGTGGAGGGATTATAAGTTACCTATGTTGCAATGATATTGGGGGTGGGGTACTAGTATGTGATAAGATATGTGGATAAAAATTCTAAAAAGGCTATGATATGGGAAACCAAATCAAATGTACCCGGTATACCCAACACAGAGGTAGGGTTTGGGGGCAGGATGCACGCAGACCTTGCCTCTACCTCAAGGGGTAGAGAGATTGTTTTCGTAAAGGGTTAGATACCTACCTCGGGCTGTTTGTTGGTTTTTCATCAAGTCCTAAATTGGATAACATTGTCTGTGTGGATTAATTTGTCTGTATAGACTGGTGGAAGGTTTTTGTTTGTGAGGGGTTTTTTATAGATGGAAGAAACGTTTTTTTTAATTGGAAGAGATAGGTTTGGAAAAAAACTTGGATTTCTTCATAAAGCTCCCCCTAGGAGCTTAAATGAGGGGCTAGCTTAATGGGCTGTATAGCCTATATGGCTTATTTGTCAGCCATAAATAGCTGTTCGGTTGTGGCTTATTTGATCAGCCGATGACTTATTCGGTCAGCCAAAAAAATAGTGTCCTTTGTATTCAGCCCTTCATTAACCTTTTTATTCCCCTTTTACCCTTCACCYTCTTTCATCTTCATCTTGAACCTATTGCTGATAAACACCACCAAATCCATGGCGAACACCACCGAAGCCTTCGTTCCCTATTGCCGGTGAACTTCACCAATCCATCTTTCAAGTCCGGAAACTCCACTCTCCTCGACCTCCAACTTCGGCGCACTATAACAACTAAGGGGCTATTGAAACATGTTCTGTAACTCCCCTTCCCTGTTGATCTTCAAACTGTCCCTAAGAAGAACACCCCCTTCCCTGATTATGCATATGTAACTCCAAAAAGCACCAAATCAAGTTCAACAACCAAGAAAAACACCAAACCCAACCCATATCTGAATTCTTTTTTTTGTTTTTTTGTTTTCGTTTTCTTACTATATATGGATATGGACTGATTGTGTTTGAACCACCACTGTTTCCAGCCAAGAACCATTGGATCGATTGAGTTTGAGCAACCATTGGATCAATTTAGGGTTATCAAACATTTGATTTATTCTGACACAAATAAAGACCGAGGGTAAAATAGTAATTTCTGACATTCAGACTGTTTATTCAGCACAACAATCGAACAAGAACTTATCTGTTAACATACAGACAACTTTATCAATACAGACAGCTTTATCCATACTGGTCTTAACATAAAACGAACTAAGCAGCCCCTAAGTCACTTTCTGTATCATTAAGCTAATACCAAACAATCATGTATAGCTAACCAAATAAGTTGCGAATCTCATTAAGCTCATTAAGCTGCTAACAGACAGGCCCTTAGTTGCTACCAACTAACTTCTTCTTGCTAACTTGATCTTTTTGGATTTCAGAAACAGTGGGAATCTATTCAATGCTAGTACAGCCCCATTAGCACCACCTGGATCCCCAACTCCTGCCACACCCACAGGTTCCGGAACGCCTTTTTTTCCATCACCTCGACAAACACCTGGAAAGCAACCACCTGGTAAACAAGTACCACAACAGGCCGATGGCCCATCATCAACACAAGATTCTAACTCTAGCACCACAAGGAAGTTTTGGACACCCAAAAAGAAAGTTTGGGTATCTATTGGATCAATATTTGGTTTTATAGTTCTGGCATTAGTGTGTCTGCTATTTGTGCCAAAATGCTTCCAAAGAAAACGACTTCCAGCTTTGATACCCAAGAGGCACGAGATAGCTCCATACAAAAATATTAACAGAGATAATCATATAGAGAATGGAGCCTTTGCTCAACCTACCAATCAAGCCGATAAAGGTATTCCAATCTGTTTGTTTTCTATTATTCCCTTCACATTTATAAAGAATTTGTACACTTCTTTTTGAAAGTTTCCAACTTCCGATTCATATGGGCTTCTTTAGAATAAAACCTGTCAGAAACCACTGACCCTCTTATTCTTTGAGCAGTTCCAAAGGTGGCAGCTGTGATGCCAAAAGAGGAGCAACAACAAACGTTTTCACCGCCACCACCACCACCACCAAGAAGAACAGGTCTGAGTCTGAAATCACAAAATGATCAGGAGATGAATGTGCAAAGACTGGCTGCCATTCCAAAGCAGGAGAGTCAGGAGATAGACTTTAGCAGATTTGATATAGATTCAATGCGGCCACCTCCACCGCCACCACCACCGCCACCCCCACCTCCACTTCCCTCATCACAACCACTTCATCTACCTTTTGATAAGGTTATTGTAGAGCCCATTGTACCTGTTGAAGTAGCAAGACCTTCCACCAAACCTCTTGTGCCTCGTACATCTGTCAGATCTTACACAATTGCATCTCTTCAGCAGTACACAAACAGTTTTTCTCAGGATAATTTTATTGGTGGAGGAATGCTGGGGAGTGTTTATAGGGCACAACTTCCGGATGGAAAGGTATGGATTATGCATAAACTTCTGCCATCTCATGTAAATTGCAATGCTTTCCGTATTCGGACTTCCCATTAAATCTGCAAAACTATCTTTTTCGAAAAAAGATTCAAGTTATATTATCTATCTGTCATTACATAAAAATTTATGGGTTCCCCAATATTACCTTATTTTTTCAAATATTGAAGGGAATATTTTTTGGATATGTGGAATCCCTTTGAATCCTTCTCTAAAAAAGAGCCCTTATAGGGAGAGAGGAGGTTCATACATATATAGGCGAAGGATCGTGTGAGAATGGAAGTGATATTGAGAAGTGTAAGAAGAGATCCGAACCCTTCATCACTTTTAATCTCATCCCCACCCATGAATTGCGCTTTAGAAGGGAATTGATCCGGTGCATTTTGGTGCACCTTATTAGTGTTGATGTTCAATTAGGATTGATCCAAGGGTGGAGATCTCTTCTTACACTTCTCACCATAACTTCCATTCTCACAGGAACCCAACCCTATATATATGTATGTATGTATGTATGTATATAAGGTCATGTTAAGGGAAAAACCATAAAAAAGGGAAAAAATTGAGGAACATCCTAATGACCATTCATCTGTGCGATATGCACATACACATAAAATGCACACGTGCAGAGAAACCAGGAAACATCTTCAATTACTTGTATGCACATGTGCATATTCTGTGCAGATGAATGGATATTAGGGTGCTCCTCATTTTTCCATTTTTATTTGGGGTTTTCCCCTGAACCTCTCTCTCTCTCTCTCTCACACACACACACACACTCTCTCTCTCTCTCTATATATATATACATACAGGTTTGATGGTCCATGTCTAGCCGACGTGGGACTCCAACACCCCCCCTCAAACATAGGCTAGACAGTGCCCCCTAGAATGGTGGCGAAAGTGTGTTTTATCCTTAGATGTGGTAGACCCTGACTCTAATACCAATGTTCGGATTGAAACCAGATTGAATCATCAATTCATTGATGAACATTGAGACGTAAGGGATCATAGCTTGGAGACAAAGGATTCCGGGAAAACTTAACATTATAAAGGGGAGTAAACAGCCAAGCTAAGAAATAGTAAATGACAACACTAGTCCCTATACCATGGAACTAATATAAAACAGGCATAAGCAACTATAAAGTCAAACATTTTAGATCTTTGACATATTAGTTGGGAACCCTTTCAGATGCTGCAGTTTTTCATGGAACAAAGGGGGAATATATATCTAGTTCACATTATGAATTATTGTGCATATTTTCTAATGAGACAATATCTTACCTACACTATCCTTCAAATGTTTCTTTAGTTGCTTGCTGTCAAGAAGTTGGAAAAAAGGGTTATCAGTCAACAGAAGGAGGCAGATTTCATTGAGCTTGTTAATAATCTTGATAGAATTCGCCATGCTAATGTTGTTGAACTCATGGGTTACTGCTCAGAACATGGTCAAAGGCTATTAATCTATGAGTACTGTAGTAGCGGGACTCTTCAGGATGCACTACATTCCGATGATGATGATAAAAAGAAACTTCCATGGAATGCACGCATTCGAATGGCACTTGGAGCTGCAAGAGCCTTAGAGTAAGTGAATACTTATCCATAAGTCAAATGTGAACTCTTTTATTGAAGTTGGTAGCATTCTTTGTTTGCAGTTAACAATTTCCCTGATATGAATTTTGTTTCTTCAAGAATTCCCTTTGGCGTATTGATGTTTCTCTTCTCGTTTTTTACTCGTGGTTTAGATATCTACACGAGCTCTGTGAGCCGCCTGTTATTCACAAAAACTTCAAGTCTGCCAACGTTCTTCTAGATGAAGATCTTTCTGTGCGTGTTTCCGATTGTGGTTTGGCTCCTTTAATATCAAGAGGCTCAGTAACTCAGGTAATCTGCCACAAAAACTTCCATTCCCCCATGTGTTTTAACCAAAGGGTAATTGGCCCAACGGTATTCGGTTTACCGGCAGAGCCCACCTCCCAAAAGGTCAAGGGTTTAAACCTCACCAAAGATGAGGAGTGTTCATAAGTATTTGCAGTAAATAAACATTATATACTTAAAAAGATTATGTTTTATCCCTTGCAGTTATCAGGACACCTCCTATCAACCTTCGTTTATGGGCCCCCAGAATTCGAGTCGGGAACCTATACCTCTATGAGTGACGTATACAGTTTTGGGGTGGTGATGTTAGAACTCTTAACAGGCCGAATGGCTTATGACAAGTAAGCAACATTAATATATCTATATCATATTGGCTACTACTCCCTCCGTCCCAAAATAAACATCCACAATGAAAAAGACACAAAATTTTAGAAATGTCTAATTATTACACTTTTTTATTTACTAATAACAATTTTACTCTTAATAATAGAGGACTCCCTTCTCATAATTAAGGGTAGAATTGGAAATTAGACACTTTTGAAATTGGATACTTATTTTGGGACAAATTAAATAGAAATGTGGACAGTTATTCTGGGACAGAGGAAGTATTATGCCATGTCTATTTTGTTTCCTATCATTTTATTTACTCTTTAGAATCGTTTCTAGTACACGACACCGTGGGGAGCAGTCGTTGGTCAGATGGGCGGTCCATCAACTTCACGATATTGATGCATTATCGAGGATGGTTGATCCTTCTCTCAATGGAGAATATCCCGTCAAGTCGTTATCGAATTTTGCAGATATTATATCACGTTGTGTTCAGGTTTGTTTACTAAACCTTCACGGTTAAATGATTCTATATCCAATACTAAGACGACGTGCTAATGCAGAGAAGACTGGGCCTTTTAACTTTTGAGTGTCAAATGAGTTGCCCCTTTTAACTACAAAACTAGCAAGAATTTTTTCTGTTGATAAATATCTTTTTATCTTGGAGACAAGAAAAAACTAAAAAGAAGACTCTTTTTTGGAGGGAGTCTTTAACTTTTAGATGTGGTTATTGTTATAAGGTGACCTTTGACCTTTAAATGGACCGGAAGTTCAAGGGTTCGAGTCTCTGAAACAGCCTTTGACTTTCTTAAATCTTGATAAAACCAGAGCTTGTTTGTTAGCAGCGTAATGAGCTTAATGGGAGTTGCAACTTATTTGATCAGCTATATATGACTGTTTGGTAGTGGCTTAATGATATAGAAAATAACTTATTCAATAAGCTTCCAGTGGGGAGCTTTTTATGCAGAAAGCCAATTTTTTTTCCAAACCTGCCCCTCCCAATTAAAAAACACACTCCTTAGTCCTTCCCCCTATGAAAAAACCCCCCAAACAAAAACCTTCCCGATCTGTACAAACAAATTAATCCACACAGATAGCTTTATACATAGAGGACTTAATGGAAAACCAACCAAACATAGTCGTCTTTGTGCATAAGCATACCATCTAGGAATCAACTGATGCTGAATGAGCATGGCTAGGCTAACACGGTTAAAATGTTGATGAAATTTGGTAAATGTGTTGCAGGCGGAACCAGAGTTTAGGCCACCGATGTCGGAAGTGGTGCAGGATCTGATACAGATGATAAGAAGAGAGTCTTCTAATAGATCAGATGGGGATTAAATTGGTTGATTGCTATATTAGGAATAGTGAATGAATGATGGTCAAAGAAAGTCAAAGGTGCCAAATGAAGGTGAATGCCCCCATGGGCTGGGCATGGCTAGCAGCCTAACACACTTTTACTCTTGTACAAAGGGGAATGTCCAAGTTTCATCTGGTCCCTCCCAATTCTTATGGTCAAATTGGTAATTTTTATGGTCAAAATGGTAAATTTTTAACTCCCATATCATTATTCATGTGTAATTTTCATATGTTGACAATCTATTGCTTGTGATTATTTAATTACATTTTTCCTGGATTGCCCTTGGCTTTTTTTTTACTCATTCACAAATCTTGTGTATGTAGGTAGATATAGGTTATTGTAACATTATGATTCCATGTTTTGCACCATGTTATATGTTGGTTTTTTGAGGTCACCAAGGAAGCTTCATGGTGTACTTCGAAATGAGAACCGAAAAAAAAACATATTTTTGAATATTTTTGGAGCGGAAAAGACATAATTATGTTCTTCGCCTTATTGCTTTATTATCTTTATTGTCTGTTTACACACTCTTTTTTTGGTAATTTTTCTATGACTTGTGCTCTCCTTTGTCTCTTCGAAATCCTCTCGACTTTCAAACATTTTAACAAATTCTCAGTTTTTATGATCTTCCAAAATGTGTTTGCTAAGTCAAAGGTTTTATGGAAATACTCTTTCTATTTTTTTTTTTGCATACCGGGCAAGAGACACCTACTGAGTAAGACGTGAGGTTATTTGTCATACATTATGACTGAGAAATGATGTTGATCAATATATTGACATCATAAGAAAGGAAATGCTATCTTACTTGGTGCTTATGTGACGGTTAGACACACTTTACCTAATTAGCATTTACCCAATTTGTATTAGTAAACTCTGTCTAAGTATGAACAAGTGTAATATATATATATATATATATATATATATATATAGGGTTGGGATCACGTGAGACCAAGGGTTTTTGTGAGACCCGACCAATTTATGTTTATTGATCAACTTTATAAGCTAATGATCTAATGGTCTAAAGTTTTACGAAGACAATTTTGTGATTATTGAGAAATCTCGTGGCAATTTTGTGATTATGAATGTTCAGATTGTAAATCTAATTTAAGGGTTAAGAATTGGTCTTACGGGTCTTACGAAAAACTCTTGGTCTCACATGATCCCAAGCGTGCGTGCGTGCGTGCGTGCGTGCTCGCTCCAACGCCCAAGGCAAAGCAACACTAATATCCAAAGATTATTATAAAATGTTGTTTTTTTATAAAACGCATTCATCTCCAGTACGCATTCATTAACATAAATAGCATAACTCATTATTTCCCTATGAACATAAATCATGGCTCTGATACCAAATCGGACAGGACCGTTCATCATTTGAAATTAAACACAGATTAGTGATATAATATTGAAATAGCAAGCATAATGATCAAAAGATACCTTTATTGATTAAGCAATCTTGAATACAATCGTGGCTGAGACACTTTGAACATACATCAAGAGCTATAATAAGGTTGAAATCTAAAGACTTGGAACATTGAGAAGTTGAG